GTTGACTACGTGTCCAACACGAGCGACGAATCTTGTACAGGCCACAAGTGGTATGAAGAGTGCTCCTGTTTGTCACTGAGAGTTCCCTTACGATCGCAATTTCAGCACAAACACATATTTCAATTCTGTAGGAGTTTGCGAGCATTCTGGACCTATTTGCGATCACACGATGTGAAACCTGAACCCGTGTGGAGTTCTATCAAAGACGTAATTGCTAAAACCTGCATTTCTATAGAGCCGCATCTGAAGAACGCTGTTGACACCTACTGCAGGTCACCGTACAGCGTTCAAGAGCTCTTCGGTTTCGACATCTTTCTTGATGCAAACTTAAAACCATGGGTTCTCGAAGTCAATGTCTCTCCCAGGTTAGCAAATCATGAACTACTAGGAACGAGTCATTTGACCTTTTAAGTTCCGATTTAAAAGTGGTCAATGCAATAAATTAAAGGGATGCCCTCTGTAGAAGGATAAAGGAGGTTGGATTGATTATTTCAGCATGCACATAGATTCACCACTCGATTCAAAGGTGAAAGGCACAATGATAAAGGATATGCTCAATCTGACAGGGTTTAATTTGCCCTCAACAAAAGACGTCTCTAGTGGAAATACGAGAACGTCTGCCATACCTCTTCCATGCGGAATTCTGAACATCAACCCCGGCATCTATGATAGTCATTTCACTTCTAAACAGGCTATCAACCCTACTTCTAACGAAGATTCTTCCAATAAAAGCGGTAAATAAAGCTTAAATTGCAGTCATTGTTGCAAATACACCTCCAAAGGAGTATAAGTGAATAGACCTTATGTGTATGCCCAGAAACATTGAAGTGGATGGAGGAGATAAAAAAACCCACAGCTCCTCCTCATCCATGGCTACTAGATCGCAGAGTAACAATGTCCAGGTTGAGCGATGATGAGCGGAAGAAACACGAATACTACGTGCTGCGGGCCTATGAAGCCTGTCTATCAGGACTAGATCAGACAACTCATACTTCAAGACATCAAGACCCACCGACACAAAACGTCATTCAACCTAGAATTCAACTGGATTTGGAATCTTTACCGCCGCCCACTACACCCAAAGAATCAACCATTTCGACTAGCATATCGCAAGGTGCCGGACCTGACTCTCTTGATCTGGCCGCCTTCATGAAACTCCGGGAGGACCACAAGCGCGCTATGGCGAGACGACGACTGGAACACAAACAACTACTACACCGTGCGAATATACAAGTTTTGGGAGAAACAGAAGGTGAGGTTCCAATGACCGCTCCTAGGGAACAAATGAACCCACCACATTCCTCAGTTCCCAATGGCGAATTTTCCGGCTTTGTTTAGATAGGTGGGAGGCGACAAAAGACTCGAACGAAACACCAGTCGGAGAGAAGCGATGTGAAGGAGACAACCTTAATCTAGCTGAGGAGCCGAAGTCAAAAACAACAAAAAGCCCAACTGCGTTAGAACAGTTCCGATGGGCTGTAGAAAATGTTCTTGATTTCATCACACCGTCCGACTTGCGTTGTTTGGTTCAAATGCTTGATGCTAAGAACCGCGCCGGTGCTTTCCAACCGGTTTTTCCGGCTGACAACATCAGCACAACAGCCTCATATTTACGCTTCTTTGAGAAACCACGCTATCCCAATCTTCTAATCTTTGCCTATCTAGACAGGTATGGGGAGTCAGTAGAGGGTGAGTTTCTACCTTATTCTAATGAACCAGAGATTTAAAGCCGATAGTAGAATTTCGTTGGACATTTAGATTGTATCAAAGTCAATTATGCACCGACTTGAATGCAAATTAGGTGTTAGCACCACAAGTAACTTCCGCCCCTCCATCTAGATAATTTTAACGCTCTAAACCTGTGGAACAAAATACTAAATCAATTTGTTAGTTAATCCCACGACTCAGTATA